AAAGCGCGCCAACAAAAGCGCGCCAACAAAAGCGCGCTCTTAACCTAACCCTAACCCTAACCCTAAACCTAATCCTAACCCTGAACCTAACCCTGAACCTAACCCTGAACCTGAACCCTGACCCTAACCCTAATCCTAACCCTTACCCTAACCCTAACCCTTACCTTAACCCTAATCGCGCTTCTGTCGGCGCTCTTTTGTGGGCTCGCCTTTGTGGACGTGCTGTCGATGTCGCAGTTTTATCACCGCGGTTTTGTTGGCGCGCTGTTGTCGGGCGCGCATTTGTTGGGTCACGAAAATTTTAGCAAGGCGTTCTCTCGGTTGCTGGGTGGATGTGGCCATGGTGGGTGTGGCCTAGTCTGCCTCCTGCACCACGGTGTGGGGGCCTCTTTGCCCTCCCCGGGCTTTTCTTGAGCCTCCGGGAGGGCGGAATGAGCCTCCCTAGGCACCGGAGGCCCATTTCCTGCCCTCCCGAACTTCCGGTAGGCCCGTTTTTCGCCCTCCCCGAGCCTCCATGTAAAACGGACCACCTGGGGACTCTGGGGAGGGGAAGGGTGGGCGGGGCCAGCCAGGAACGGGATTTGGAGGTTCTCCGAACTGCACAGAATCTTAGCTAGAGATTTCTCCCCAGACTCTGCGAATCCCTGCTTTGGAGCAACCATGATCTGGATGACTGAGAATCTCCACAGACAAGCTAAAATTAAAATTGCTTGTGTTCTTAGTCTGCCACGGGTGACATCTGCTTAGCGGATCGTTGACTTCTATTTTTAACTCTCAATCTTCCCCCCTTTTTTTTTGGGTAACAATCAGGAAGCTGACGACTTAATTCTAATCAACATCGATACTGGCGATATCGCTCAATCCATGTCCTCTGAAGAGGAAACCGACATTCCAGATGTTCCAGCAGAAGCAGCCAGAGTTTTTATAGCAAGGTAAAAAAAATCAAGATTGTTTTCCTTGCTTCCATTAATAAGTCAGAACAAAAGACGTGGCTGGATTCACAAACCTTGGTTTACAGCATCAGGGTTAATGGCTGAAACTTAAAGATCATTCAAGGTGTCTGTGTATCCAGCTATTTACCCTGATTAAATAAAATGCACAGGTACAGTATAGGTGGTACCTTGCTCAATAGTAGTAACTGTGAAAGGGATCTTGGAATCCTAATGGACAACCCTTTAAATAGGAGCCAGCCGTGTGCACAGGCTGCCAAAAAAACCAACACAGTTCTAGGCTGCATCAACAGAGGGATAGAATCAAGATCACGTGAAAGGTTAATACCACTTTATAATGCCTTGGTAAGGCCACGCTTGGAATACGGCATCCCATTTTGGTCACTACGATGTAAAAGAGATGTGGAGACTCTAGAAAGAGTGCAGAGAAGAACAACCAAGAGGATTAGGGGACTGGAGACTAAAACATGAACAACAGTTGAAGGAACTGGGTATGTCTAGTTGAATGAAAAGAAGGACTAGGGGAGACATGATAGCATTGTTCCAATATCTCAGGGGCTCCACAAAGAAAAGAGAGTCAAGCTATTGTCCAAAGCATCTGAGTGTAGGAGAAGAAACAATGGGTGGAAACTAATCAAGGAGAGAAGCAACCTAGAACAGGAGAAATTTCCTGACAGTGAGAACAATGAATCAGTGGAACAGCTTGACACCAGAAGTTGTGGGTGCTCCCATCACTGGACGTTTTTCAAGAAGAGATTGGACCACCATTTGTCTGAAATAGCAATAGCAATAGCAGTTAGACTTATATACCGCTTCATAGGGCTTTCAGCCCTCTCTAAGCGGTTTACAGAGTCAGCATATTGCCCCCAACAACAATCCGGGTCCTCATTTTACCCACCTCAGAAGGATGGAAGGCTGAGTCAAACCTGAGCCGGTGAGATTTGAACAGCAGAACTGCAGTCAGCTGAAGTAGCCTGCAGTGCTGCATTTAACCACTGCGCCACCTCGGCTCTTGATAATAGGATTACCTACTTGAACGGGGTTGGACTAGAAGACCTCCAAGGTCCCTTCCAGGCTCTGTCCTGATTGATCGGCCCCTTGTAACGAGTCATGCTCTTCTTCCCGCAGATCTGAAAACCTTCAGTTGCACTACGACCTTGAGCTCTGCCATCTGGGCACCTCCACGGACTTCATCGACATCCAAGGGCGACGGAGAAGCTGGCAGCGCAAGCTGAACTCTGAAATTCAACAGATTGCTCTGCAGCTAATCGTCAATATCTTTAAGTGGGTGCCCAAAGATTTCCTTTCAGAGGCCTTTAGCCAGTGGTGGGATTCAGCCGGTTCGCACCACTTCGGAAGAACCGGTTTGTTCACTTTCTGAGCAGTTGGGTGAACTGGTTGTTGGAAGAAATCATTAGGGCAGAGAACCGGTTGTTACATTATTTGAATCCCATCCCTGCCTTTAGTTCTCTCCTCCACCTTCGTACCATCACCTGTTCAAAAACCGAAACCCTTCTTCAAAGGAAGGGATAAGTGAGCCTTCTTTTTGGCGCCTCGAGAGAGAATTCTGGGTGGATTCAATGGATGATCTGTGCGTTTACACCATTCATTAATTCTTGGGGTAATCCCATTTTTATCAACAGGGAGGTGAAAGATCATTTGAACTATGAACACAGAGTATTTAACAGTGAAGAATTCTTAAAGACAAGAGCAATAAATGATCAGCCTTTTTACAGAAAGGTAAGACAAAGCTTAACAAAAATTGTTCTATTAGTTCATGTAATTAAAAAAAAACGACAACTGTCATGAATATGAACCAGTTTCCCAGTGGGCCAATTTTGATCAATTGACCACGGGGATGCTGGAACGGTCGTAAGTGTCAAAAATAGCCAAAAGTCACTTTTTTCAATGCCTTTGTAACTTCAAAACAGTCACTAAGTGAATGGCTGTAAGTCGAGGACTACCTGTACTGTGGGTAATGCCTTCTCTTGTGTTTTTACAGGTACTGGAAACGTACATGTTCCACTTTTTTCTCAAAGCTCGCCTTAACCGAAGGATGGATGCCTTCGCTTACCTAGAGCAGAGCACCCAAAATGAAGAAGACAGGTAAACCTATTTTTGTATGATGTAGGTCAGCGATGGCGAACCGTTTTCTTATGGCGTGCCAAAATTGTATGTGCGCATGCACACCAATTCAATCCTTTCCACCCACCTGCACATGCACGCGTGACCCCGCCCTCACACATACACGCACAACCCCTTCCCAGGGTCCGGAAGCTTTCCTGAAGGGAGGGCGAAAACGGCATCCCCCGGCTCCCTGGAGGCCCTCTTTCACCCTCTTTTTTGAGGGAAAAAGGTGCGTCTTATACTCTGAAAAATACGATATATTGTAAAACAGACACTTAAGATGCTTGCTCTTCTCATTTTGGAGCATTGTTGGTGTGGTCAGGGCCCCGCTCCCATGAGCCTCATTGCGGGCACCCGCGGTTCCACTCGCATGAGGTGAGCCTCATCGCGGTCTCTCGTGATCCCACTCGAGAGAGCCCCGTGGGTATTCGCTGCCCCACCTGTGTGAGCACCAACACAAATATCGGCACTGAAAATAAGGACTGATGACTGTTGTTCACACTTCGAACTTTGCCACATCCCCATGTGGTCATCATGTGATCAAAACTCAGGCGCTTGGCCACTGGTTCATATTTATGACCGTTGCCGTGTCCCCAGATCACACGAACCCCTTTTGTGACCTTCTGACGAGCAAAGTCAAGGGGGAAACTAGATCCAATTAACAACCTGGTTTGTTAACTTATCAACTGCGGTGATTGACTTCACAACTGTGGCAAGAAAGGTCGTTAAGTGGGACAAAATTCACTTAATGAACTGTCTCACTTCACAACAGGAGGTTTGGCCCCCATTGTGAATTCGATGCTTAGTGCCTGTCCTTGTGCTGCTATGATTATGTATCTCTGGGGATGTATGCTGTGTTTTATGTGTATGTGTGTATACAGGTAGTCCTTGACTTACGACTCCAATTGATCCCAGAATTTATGTTGCTAAGCGAAACATTTGTTAAGTGAAGTTGCCCGATTTTACGAGCTTTTTTGCCACAGCTGTTAAGTGAATCACCACAGTTAGTAACATGGCCATTAAGTGAATCCGGCTTCCTCATTGACTTTGCTTGTCGGAAGGACGCAAAAGCGGATCACGTGACCCCAGGACACTGCAACCGTCATAAATATGAGTCTGAATTTTGATCGCCTGACCCTGCGGATGCGCCAAAGGTCATAAGTGTGAAAAACGTCCCTTTTTTTCCAGTGCTGCTGTAACTTCATACAGGCACTAAACGAACCGTTGTAAGTCGAGGACCAACTGTATGTTTCTTCCTGTAGATTCAACTTCCTGGTTGGGAATCCGAGAAGGCTAACGATGGAGAAAATGATTTCTAAAAGATTTAATCCTCAGTTCATGCTCAGCAGGCGGATGGGGGTGAGTCTGCCTGATCTGCACGACATTAAGCAGAGCGACGGCCCAACGAGGAATTTATCCCTTCGGAGCGTAAACACTACACAAGGTAGGAAATGCAGCCCAGCTGCCATTGTTGCTTGACTTATTTGAGTGACTTATTTAATCCATGTTGTGGATTAGTGTTCTGACCGAGGCTTCCCAGCAGCACGAAGCCGAGTCCTCATCCCGATAAACTCCTTTTATTTAATTGACAGTGAATTCCTCTCCAGCAAAATCTTTCCTCTCCCACAGCCTTTCCAGATAGTTTACAATTTCTGACCTTTATCAGGCTTGGAGAGCCGCCAGGCCGATATCTTTCGGACGCCGCAATGCTTGGCGAGAATGCCGGAATGGACTAATAGTCTCCTGCAAACTCCACTCCCCTGTCGCTCCTCTTTTATTTCCTCTGGGAGGGGCCATTCACTTGTGGCCTTACTCCCAAGTCGACCCCTGTTCTATAGCTGTTCCCTTTGTCTGGCAACTCTGTGCATGCGCACACTGGGTACAGGTTCCAGCTGTTTATCTGCCTCACTGATGTCTTACTCTGAAGGCAGCTGATAAGTGGCATACGGCCCTGGCCCCCTCTCTGCCTCCGACACAGAACCCTCATCAGAGCCTTCCCCAGACTCCAGGACTGGCCCAACCTTCCTCCCCAACCTCTTTCACTGTCCGAATCTGCTGCCAGTTCTGCTGGCGGGCCACAACAAGTAGTCCTCGACTTATGACCGCAGTGGAGGCCAAAATTTTTGTTGCTAAGTGGGACAGCTGTTAAGTGAATTTTGCCCCATTTTACCAGCTTTCCTGTTCCAGCTGTTCAGTAAATCCCTGCAATTATTAAGTTGTTACCCCAGTTGTTAGGTGAATCTGGCTT